GGATTGCTAATCCATAAAGTCAGCATTTCAAAACCACCAGATGCTTCTCGGAAACAAGGTCACTGTGAGTTGGAACCAACTCAACGGCACTTAACAACAACTTGTTCTCTAAGTACCAAGTAATAGTTAAATGTGATAGTTGTTGTTGTTGTTGTTATGTGCCATCGAGTTGGTTCCGACCCATAGCGACCCTGTATAGGGTTTCCGAGGGTGTAAATCTTTATGGGAGTAGAAAGTCTCATCTTTCTCCCGCAGAGCAGCTGGTAGTTTCGAACCGCTGACCTTAAGGTTCGCAGCCCAATTCGTAACCACTACGCTACCAGAGCTTTGCTGAAACAATTGAACTGCTAGTGAAATTTTAATGCAAGCCATTTTTAAATATGCCTTTTAAGGGACTTGGTCTTATACTAAGTGAGTTATACAAAATATGACAAGAAGCGGTTAGGTGATGAGATTGATGCAGGAACCTTTGTCACAGGATTACAGGGTGGGTGAATGGGTGGGAAAGGGGTGGTTTCTGCCAGCTACCAATGAGGCCTGCTAAGCACAAGTCTGTCTTGGAAGAAGTACAGTCAGATGCTCCTTAGAAGTGAGGATGGTAAGACTTCTCATATACTTTAGACATGTTATCAAGAGGGACCAGTCCTGGAAAAGAACATCATTTTTGGTAAAGTGGAGGGTCATCAAAAAGAAGGAAGATCCTCAATGAGATGGATTAGCAGTGTCTGCAACAAGGGACTCAAACATAGCAATGATTGTGAGGGTGGCATGGGACCAGGTAGCGTTTTGTTCTGTTATATATACATACAGAACCAACTCCACAGCACCTAATAACAACATTACAAGTACAGAGACTGTTGGCAGGGTGTGGGGCAGGGCTCTGGGAGAAAAGCAGTGGAAGACATGGATCCATAGGACCTTACCATCTACTTGGACAAATGGAACAAATTCACATAAAACCTGAGGTGTCAAAGCAGTAGCTAAGTAATTTCATACTTAAGCAGAGATCATTAAAGAGGGACATGTTTTTGTGTGCATGTATGTATATGTGTGTGTGAAAAAAAGTGGGAGAAAAAAGGAAGTGTGTTATTAACATACAGATATATCAAGTGGACAAAAGAGGAAGAAGTATAATCCTTTATCTATCGGCACAGGTTTCCCCTAGGCTGTTGAAAAAAGGCCAGGTGCTCTGTCCAGCACTCATCTACATATTCAACTCATCTACATATTCTGCTGTTGGAAAGTAGCAAGGGACAGCTTGGACTTTGGAGTCCAGTGGCCCTAGGTCTGAATCATGAGAGACTTCACTCCTCATTGACCTTTTGAACTTCAGTTTCTTTTCTTGAAAATGTTAGGAAAAACACCTACTCAAAGGACTGTTTGAGTTCATGTACATAGAATACTTGGGATGTGGTGAAGTGATAAGTAAATGGGAGCTATGTTTCACTCAACATTTGTTAAGGTAGGAGCTAGAGAAAGAGCTGAATAAGCCATTGTCCACAGCTTCTCCCTCAAGTTCAAGTCTAGTGGGAGGGGCAGACGAAGAACAACTAATTACAGTGCGTGTGGTAACAGCTGTGATAACCCTCTGCACAAAGTGCCAAGGAAGCACAAGAAAGGGGATGACATCTGCCTTGTGGGGGAGGAAGTCTTCACAGAGTCCTAAGAAATGTCTGTTTGTAAGCTGGAGAATGAGAGGAAGGGCATTCCAAGTTGAAGACAGAGCATTTGCAAAGGCAAAGTCCTGAAAACAATAAGGTACGTCCAAATTTGCTATTAGTTGGTATGATTGGAGCAAGAAACAAGGGTGAGGTGGGGTATACCCGGAAAAGAGCATAGGTTTATTTGAGTTTCAGCACTGTAAAAATGATGGGTGTGTGTGGGGGCTTGTCTAATCTCTTCTAACTTCACAAGGGAGAAGGAGAATTAAAATAACAACCCAAGGCGATTCTTTAGGTGAAGGGCAGAAATATCTCCTCTTTTAACCTTTTTACCAATTCTGATACCAGCGGTCCTTCTCACACAGGGCTGAATTACCCAATAAGCAAGGTAAGCATGGATTTACTAATATGTAGTGAATAATTTCACATGGGTTTCACCACAATATGTGAAACTGTTTGCTACAGATTAGTAAGCAAGCACAAATAATTTGTCCCTGTCAGGAACTGTAACTTTTATAAGAGGCTTCAATTCTAAAAGAAGGTGGTGTGGAGTTGGAAGAAAGCGAGATGCCAGCCATACCTAGAAGCAGAATCTTTGATATGGTGAAATTGCTCACTACAGATGAGTAAAATCAAGTGCTTACCTTGCTTACTGGCTTTGGTCCCACAGCACTGTACTTCTCTACTGGGATCCATAATTCATTGCCATGGCCACACAGAACTAACAGACCATACTCACAGATAGGGGGTTTATGAAGAAAGTAACAGGTTACAATTCAGGACCAGTAACAACAAACAGGATACAGTTCAATTAGGGCAATGTCTTGGCCATGCCCACAGGCAGGTTTGTCCCTCAGCCCCTGGGTCTCTTTGCCTCTTGGTCTAACTTCTTCCCTGATTGGACAAGTGTTTCAAAGCTCTTTAACACTGCCAATAATTGCCCAGAGGCACCCATTCTACCAGCAAGACTCCTTTCTTGCCCAGGGAAGCCCATGGTGCTGTCCCCTGCCAGTCTCCTGGTTCTGCTGCTTCTGCTGCCGCTATTTCTCTGCCACTGCTTCTCACACTCTCACCATCTGTCTGAATCCTGGGTCTCGGAGGTTCTTAGCATAGGTATTTTGGGTCAAAAGAATGTACTCTACTCACTAAACAACAACAACCCAAGCATTTGGTGAGAGTTACAAGATCATGGTGAGAAAAGCTATATAAAAGTGAAACATTGCAGTACAGGCACGTTTAATCCCCATTTAGTAATACTGTTGTGTTAAAATTGTTATTTTCCAGAGGATATGTTTCTTTATTCCCTATAACCACTCTACCACCTCTTAACAAGTATCAAACTGGGTGGCAGTGGTTGGAGGGAGAACAAAGGAAGAACTCACCAGAAAACCTGTTTGAGTTCCGTTTACAACTACTTTCATGTAAGTTTACAATTTGGTGGTGGTGGTGGTGGTGTGCCGTGGAGTTGGTTCCGACTCATAGCGACCCTGCAGAGGGTTTCTGAGGCTGTAAATCTTTATGGGAGCAGAAAGCCTCATCTTTCTCCCACGGAGCAGCTGGTAGTTTCAAACTTATGACCCTGGGGTTAGTAGCCCGCTTAGTTCCTTTTTAAATAGCCCTAGTGATGCAGTGGTTAAGCACTCGGCTGCAAATCAAAAGGTCATCATCAGTTTGAACTTATCAGCTACTCTGTGGGAGAAAGATGTAGCAGTCTGTTTTCATAAAGATTACAGCCTTAGAAACCCTATGGGGCAGTTATACTCTGTCTTATAGGGTTGCTGTGAGTCAGAATTGACTCTACAGCAATGAATTTGGGTTTTTGAAGGGAATAAACTCAGTGTCTTGGGAGAATTGCTCAGGGTCTCAGACAGTTTATCTCCCTAAGATAGTATCTGAGTTTCTGGTGGTAGGTAGGTTCTCTGGACTTGTGGCACTGAGGTAGGTGGGACTTTCAGACCATTTCCAGTCATCTGGCTCCTCTCTCTCTTAGTACTGCCCTGTCTGCTAGCTTTTGCCTGAAGACTGCTGCTGTGATCTACTCTTTCTGAAGCTCACTGCCACACTTTGGACTTTGGGTCCCCTCAGAAGTGTGCAGGGGAAACACACTGAGCTCTTCCTACCAAATCACATCTCCCCCTTATCATAGCAAGCCCATCTGGGAAGCTCCTTAGTCCATAGATGTACCTAGAAAAGCTCAATTCTGTACAGGTCCTTTCTCTGCTTGGCAATACTGTGCTGCCAAGTCCACACTGATGTGGTCCTGCCCAATGCTAGTGTGCAGATAGCTTATGAGAGAACCATTGTATAATTTTCATTTGACAGATAATGAAACAGCTCAAACAAGCTGAACCCAGATTGCTCTGACCCCAAACCCAGCCTACACATGGTGCATGTGATAAGGGAATTTGAACTTTATTCGTTAGATTGTGGGGAGCCAACACAATATCTGGCCGGGTAGGTGCTCCAAATACTTCTCACTTCTCACCACCTGGCACCTATTTACTTGTATTTCTTTATTATATGTCTCCCTCCAATGGAATGCAAACTCAATGTGGGGAGAGGCTTTTGTTTTGTTGACTTCTGTGAAACGTGTTTGGTACCTTTTAAAGACTCATTAAACATCTGTGGAATAAAAGGAAGCGAGCGATATTGGATAATAGCAACCTAAGGGCTTTACAAGGAGTCCTGGTGTGGCACTATAGGATAAGCACTGGTTTGCAAGGTCGGTTTGAGCTGCAAGGTTGACAGTTCAAATTCACCAGTGGCTCTTCAGAAACTATACAGGGGTAGCTATGAGTCAGAACTGACTCAATGGCACAATAACAAGTGCCTTACCTAACTTCATTTAAACTATTAACCTCATGAAGTAGTAACTACTAAAAATTTTTTGTCTAGTTAAGGAAATGAGGTTCAGAGAGATTAACTTTTTTGAGGTCACACAGCTAGGCAATTTGACTAACTCTAGAGGAAGTCTGAATCCAGAGCCTGGGCATATGCTACATCCCATCTGTAAAACAAATTCTGGATAGACAAAAGGTGCGGAAGGCTGAGCAAAGGAAGACAGTGTAGTTAAATAAATATTGTGTCTGTTGTCCTATCCTAGTGTACCTTGACTTTGGTTTACCTTCCTATTCCAGGTTTCCACTTCCGATGAAGCTATAACCAACAGCATCCAACCATTGCAGCCAGCTACCCTTGATGCTCTGCCTCTGCTTGCTTTAGGATCCTCTCTTTAGGATCCTTTGCTTCCTGGCCCCAAATCTGGGGATGAATCTTATGCCAGAGCCCTGGTGTGCCATGCGATGACCTCAGCCTAGCTCATCCTCCCACTTTGACAAGATGGTGGCCAACTTCACTACCAACATTAATCCTTCTAATGACACTGCTGAGTGTCCAGACTACCGGTCCACCCACCGCCTGCACTTGGTGGTCTACAGCCTGGTGCTGACTGCCGGGCTCCCCCTCAACGCACTGGCCCTTTGGGTCTTCCTGCGTGCTCTGCGCGTGCACTCTGTGGTGAGCGTGTACATGTGCAACCTGGCGGCCAGCGACCTGCTCTTTACCCTCTCTCTGCCCGTACGCCTCTACTTCTACACATTGCACTACTGGCCCTTTCCGGACCTCCTGTGCCAGATAGCGGGCGCCATCTTCCAGATGAACATGTACGGCAGCTGCATTTTCCTCGCGCTCATCAACGTGGACCGCTATGCTGCCATTGTACACCCACTACGGCTGCGCCACCTGCGGAGGCCCCACGTGGCGCGATGCTTCTGCCTTGGCGTGTGGGCGCTCATCCTGGTGTCCGCAGTGCCTGCCGCCCTTGTGCACACTCCCTCACCCTGCAGATACAAGGGCGGGGAGGTGCGCCTGTGCTTCGAGAGCTTCAGGGACACGCTGTGGAAGGGTCCGATGCTGCCTCTTGTGCTTTTGGCCGAGGCGCTGGGCTTCCTGCTGCCCCTGGTGGCCATGGTGTACTCGTCAGTGAGGGTCTTCTGGACCCTGGCGAAACCAGACGCCACACGGAGTCAACGAAGGCGGAAGACAGTGCGTCTACTACTGGCTAACCTTGTTATCTTCTTACTGTGCTTCGTACCTTACAACACCACACTGGCTGTCTATGGGCTGCTGCGAAGCCAGCTGGTGGTGGTGAGCGAGGCAGCCCGTGACCAAGTGCGCCAAGTGCTGATGGTTATGCTGCTGTTGGCCGGTTCCAACTGTGTACTGGACCCGCTGGTTTATTATTTCAGTGCTGAGGGTTTCCGCAACACCTTGTGTGGTATAGGCAAACCGATCCGGACTAGGACCTTGGCCACCAATGGGACTCTGGAAACACCAGCTGACCAGTCTTCTGAAACTACCCACACCACCAGGCCAGATGTCACCAGCCAGGTGCTGCTCAGGCCTTCCTACCACCAGACTCCCTTTACCCAGGGCCCCCAGGATTCTGCTCTATGAATGCACATGGCACCCTAGTGCCATTAACCCTCCCCTCAGCAAATTTCTGCCTTTAAAATGGCAGGGTGTGCACATGATGGAGGGAGAAGGGGCACACGTGGATTTCTGGATGACAATCCCACCTCATATGCAGAAGAGAACAAAGTATGGAGAAAACATGGAGAACAGGGAAGGGAGTGTGCTGGTGCTAATGAGCACAGAGGTCTCTTCCCAAGTTGTAGGAAGGCGGGATGCAATGAGCCAGCCCTGACAGAGTTGCAAGATTGGTTTAGATTCCCATGCAGGGTAGGAGCTGGTAGATGAAGAGAAAATGAGCATTCTGCATTTAGACCCACCACAGCAGTCTGAAGGCTGAAGAGCCTCAGACCTTCTTTGGACCAAGCTACTGAGTTTAACTGTTGACTTCTCTGTGGAATTTAGGGCCATGGAAGTGATCCCCTCCTCTGTCAATCAGGGCATCCATTGCTCAGCATCGAGGTGTAATAAAGATGCAGGAAAACAAGAGCTTATTTAATATGACAGGATTGTTTTTCCATCTTGTTTAAGTGACTTGTAACAATTTATGCCAACTCCCAGCATGGGGTAGTTGGTGGGCAGGGCAAAACTGTGAATTAGAGAAGTCCTGTATTCCCCTCCTTACCAGATCCTGGTCCTTGTTCCCCTTGCTAAATCATCCCTTCTCCCTCCATGTCACTCGCATTCCAGGGCCTCTTCCATTTTAGGTCCTTAATATCTGCTCCCCCAGCCCAGCTCACACTTCCCCTCTAAGGTAATTAAAGAGAAAAAGTCTTTGTAAAAAAGGGACCCTGGGACCTTTTTTAAAAAGTGAGCATCCCAAAGAGCCTTTCATTTATGGTTTCTTTGTTCTGTTGACATCATATTAGAAATTAAAGCCAGTAAGTTTTAAAATGCAAGAATACTCAAGCATATATTCCAGCAGCTGTGAGAGCAATAATGAAGCCCCTGGAAAACTCCATTATATGCTTGTGAGAAGGAGAGTAGAAGAGGAAAGTGGCATCTTAGTAGTTGTTGCTGTGAAGTGCTGTTGAGTCTGTTCCGACCCATAGTGACCCTGTATAGGGTTTCCAAGGAGTAGTTGGTGAGCTTGAACCGCCGACCTTGCAGTTCAAATGGCTTTGCAGTCTGGCCCATTAACCCACAGCGCCACACCAGGACTCCATCTTAGTAGTAGTTGCTGTTGTGAAGTGCCATAGTAGTATGAAAATTGTGTTGACCTCATTGACTTCCTCAAAGTCTTGGTCCATGGATCATACTTTGAGAACCATACCTGTATAACTTCATCCCAGAACATTCATTATATATTTATATAGTGTTTGTTTTGGGGGAGGGGGAGGAGAAAGAGGGAGGGCAGAATAGAAGCTACTCACCAAATGGAACATTACCTTGAGTTTACTGTGGAGCAGCCTTGAGGTGGGGAGTGAAACTAATCACAGAGACTCTCAGGCATAGGAGGAGGAACTGTGCCATAGTAAAGACCCAAAAGTTAACAGGGAAGTAAGAGTGAGAAGATAGGCATATGTTGTCTGTTCTTAGCAAGTTGAGGGTAAGGGAAATGGAAGGCTGGTTTAAGTGGTAGTGGGTATGTGCTGTGGAGTTGGTTCCTGTACAGGGTTTCTGAGGCTATAAATCTTTACGGGAGCAGAAAGCCTCATCTTTCTCCAGCGGAACAGCTGTTAGTTTCAAACTGCTGACCTTGAGGTTCGCAGCCCAATTCATAATGACTGTGCTACCGCACCTACTATTTCTCTATTTATCTGAGGGTGGGCAGGATGGACTGCTGCAGAGTTGATTCTATGCCATCTTCAACCCTGACATTAGTGAAGAAGTGTTGCTATGATTGTGTTGTGTCTCAATACTATACGTTTCTCTGTGTGTAGAGGGGTGGTGGTGGTGATGGAGAAACTGTCAGAATTTTCCTCTGTATGTCTCCTTGCACTGGGGTTGGAATTAGTGAACCTTTGCTGTGAGTCTTTACGGTATGACTGCAGATGGTGATTTACAAGGGTAAAATGACCCCTGGTGGCCAAACTCGAGAACTGACCCAAATTCCTCAATGACAGCCATGAAGAAGCAGGACCTTCCTGGATACACCTGCTTATCTCCACTTCAGCCTCCAGGGTTCAGGAGTACCAACAGCATCTACCCTGTAGGCCAAAGCTTCAGTACTTTGTCCTACCTAATTGAACTTAATTTAAAAAAAAAAAAAACTGCTTAAAGTATTATATGCAGATACATGAATGAATTTCAAAGAAATTATAACTCAGATAGCATTTATTACCTTCCTATGGACTTTTGGTGTGGTGCTGTGGATCAGCACTGGACTGTGAACCACAAGATTAGCAGTTCAAACCCACCAGCTGCTCCTTGGAAACCTTATACAGGGTCGCTATGAGTCAGAACCGACTCAACAGCACTTTAACAACAACTTGGCATGCTGCTATGGGATAAAGCACTGGACTGCAAGGTCAGCCTGAGCCACAAAGCCGGCAGTTCAAACCCACCAGTCGCTCCTTGGAAACCCTACAGAGAGTCGCTGTGAGTCAGAACCAACTTGATGGCATTTAACAACGATGACAACATACAATATAATTTGCTTATTTATTATAATTCTTATAGTTTATTGTCTGTCTCTTCCCTTCCCACCTGAAAAGCATGTAAATTCTTTAGGGGCAAGAAATTTTGTTTTTCTGATTCTCTGACGTATCCCCAGCATCTACAACAGTACCTGGCTCAGAAGACGTATTCAATAAATATTTATTGAATGAATGAATTAGTTGGATCTTGCTGCAGAATAGTTTACTATCTACTGAGGGCCACAGAAAAGTAAAAATAATTATAATGCAAGGCAGAAGATACAAGAATGCAAGTTGATTTCGTGGGCAATGTGAAGCCCCTAAAGATTCTTGAATGAGGTTTTACTCACACTGACATGCTGTGTAGGAAAAACTATAGGGGAATGAGATGGGGAGAGTCAAAGAAGAAAACTGGTGAGGTCGCTATTAAAATAATCCAAGAGAAGTGTGACTGTGTAAGTAAATGGAAATGGTTGTCTTCAGTGTGAAATATCTGGTGTTTGAGATCTGGTAGGATGCTTTCCAACGATTAGTGTATTCTAAGGGTTTCTACCACAGAATAAAGGCAAAATTAGATTAAGGAGATGTTGCAGGCAGAGGAGGATTGAGCAGATAACAAATAGCACTATGGAAGTTTAAGAAAACCTATGACTATTGCCATTTTCAAAGGATTCCCCAATTACAGAATGGGTGGTAGCAAGGAGGCAAGATCTGGGATGTTCAGAGCTCTCATTTCATTTTCTGGAGCTACTCTATTTGAGGTCTAGGAAAGGGAGGAAAAAGAGAGAATCTTAGAAGGCGAAGAGCATTAACAGTTTTTGTGTGTGTTTAATACTGTGCCAGGATTTCAATTTAGTGCCAGTAACCTTCTTAGTAAAGGAGCTCTGGTAGCGTAGTGGTTACGAATCGGGCTGCGAACCTTAAGGTCAGCAGTTCGAAACTACCAGCCGCTCCGCGGGAGAAAGATGAGGCTTTCTACTCCCGTAAAGATTTACATCCTTGGAAACCCTGTACAGGGTCGCTACGGGTTGGAACCGACTCGACGGCACTTCACAACCAACAACAACCTTCTTAGTAAGGAGCTCTGGTAGCGTAGTGTTACGAATTAGACTGTGAACCTCACAGTCAGCAGTTCGAAACTACCAGCTGTTCCGCAGGAGAAAGATGAGGCTTTCTGCTCCCGTAAAGATTTACAGCCTCAGAAACCCTGTACAGGGTCTCCATGAGTCAGAACTGACCACAGCACATCACAACAACAACAACCTTCTTAGGTACAATTATGATCCCCATTTAATAGTCTAAACACCCTAGAGAAACAGAGCTTGCAAGGCTACAAACATAGTATAACATCTCCTTGGTTTCCAAACTCCTATTCTTTGTACCCCCTCTTTCTATTCCTGACTCTGTTGTATTCCTATTCTCTCACCTTCCTATTCCTGACTTTCTTTCACCCCTGGCTTCTTTTCTTTCCTTCTTCAGATAGGTCACCTCTCTCACCTTCTCCCTTCCAAAATGAAACTGCTGTATAATTTCTGCCCTCCTTATCCCAGATCTTCCTCTATGCTTATTACCCAGGTACGCTACAGCACACCTGCCCCTTCTTATTCCATGTACCCCAACCCCCCCTGTGCTCAACAGTGTGCTTGTGAGGGCTGAGAACTGGACTTACTCAGGGTTCCAGTTGCCTTGGGCACTGAACCACACCCATTGAAGGGCTTAAGAAGGAGTAGCTTGGTGATGGAGGTGGCACACATGGACAGGGTAGATCAGCAGTTGGTTATGATACTCCTTCAACCAGGAATATACCTGACATGGCTAATATAGCACTCTTCATTGTCAACAAAACTGACAAGTGGATCTTACCTTGGTTCTCTATTTTCCAAAGTCTGTCTCTTTTGTAGGAGGATCCCTGCACAAAGTGGAAGAGGTGGGAGTGGGGGAGTGAGAACAATTTGAGAGCAATCCTTGCTGGATTGCTACCTGGTGTCCCATGGAAGAAATGGGCAAGTGTGTGTGTTGTGTGTGGCAGGGGAGAACTAAATTTCATACCAAGCCTCTCTTTCAAAAGGTTCTGGAGACAAAGACTGAGGTATTTCTCACCATGCTGTCCACTCTAGAGCATGAAATTGCTGAAAAGGGAAGTTTCTCATAATACCGTTTGGGGAATCCCAAAAGCTCCCTTAACTTTGGGGTCAAACAAACCTGGGAACGAATTTCAGCCCTATCACTTCTTGAAAATGTGACTTTAGGCAAGTTATTTAGTCTTTATGCTTCTTGTTTTCTCCTCTGTGAAATGGGGTTCATAATACGTACTTACTGGGTTGTTGGGAAGGTCAATGAGATCACCTTTGAAAGGTACCTGAGAGGCATCTTGTAAATAAATGGAAGCTCTCTTTTCAACAAGAG